TCGGCTAAATCTCCCACCATGCAACATCTCAATTTCAATTCCTTTTAATTTACAAACCAAAATAAAACGACATATATACGAAAATACTGGCATGCAAAATTGAAAGGAAACTTACTTAAAATTTTTTAATATGAAATAAACACAGTTACATCCATTATCCTTATTCAATTGCCCACAAACGTAAAGGATTCTTTTAAGACCGCCAATATGGACGACAAATCCCACCGTATCTAAGTTTTAGGGATTTAATTTGTTAGCTAACCCATATTTACATTAAAACCACAAAAATAAAAGGAAGCAAACGAAAACGTACCAATAGGAATCTCGGCCAAGAACCTCCATCCCCTTATACGTCTAAATCTTTCAAGCTCATATAAAATAAAGACCTATCGATTAAATCCAAAAATTTCTTTATCGTTATGAAAACATAATATATATATATATATATATATATATATATATATATAAATTACTATTAAAAAAACGATGAAATATTCAAAACCCTAACATAAGCAAAAGTATAGTAATGCTAAAAACCATAATGCAATAATCAATACGTAAATGTGAGAGATAATTTTTTGATCTCGTCTTTGATTGTCAAGAACTAAATATCTTCATCTCTACCAGCAAAAACACTTCGCATTGCCTCTATTTAAGGTGTCCAAGTCGTTGATATCTTCATCTCTAGCTTTCAGAGACTTCTAGCATTCATATGTCCAAGTTGTTGATGTCACAATACCGAATCATCCTTCTAAGCTCTAAAACATGTTTCAGGTTCTTGCCACATGTAACAATTGTTTCTAGTACGGAATCTCGAGAGAGCATTGTGGTTCTTCTCATCTGTAGTCCATCATTTCATTTTATTGAAGCTCATTGTTAAGCCTTCATCACACAACTGACTTACACTGATTAGGTTGGTTGTTAACCCTTCAACAAAATACACATTGGTGAGTTCAGGGTTTTCAGCTTCAGTTAGGTCTCTTTTCCCTTTAATCTTCCCTTTTGCTCCACCACCAAACGTGACTTTGCTCTCTTTTACTTTAGTGTAACTGTTGAGATTAGCTTGATTCTTCCTCATATGTCTAGAAGCTTCAATATCAAAATACCAAGGCTTAGACATACTTGTTTCAGTTGAGATATACGCAACATGGTAGTACATATCGGATTTTCAACATAGGCTTTAGACTCTCTTCTTTGATGTGGATAAAACCTTCCCAATTTCATTAGCTTCTTCAGTTTAGCTTCATATATATGTAGCAGTATTTCTTTATGTGACTATGACGACCACAATAGTAACATACATACCAAGTCAGTGATCTATGACAATGGTTCTGATTCTAATGCAGACGTCTTGCTGGAAAAACTTCAGTGTATTTTCGAGATACAGACTGATAACGACCTGCATGTACACCATTACTTGGAAAAAACTTGGTCTTCCCACTTATGCTCACCTCCATGGTAGCCAAATCTGAAATTAGATTTTCCAACTCTCCTAGATGCTAAGATGCTATCCAAATCCTTTTCCCCACTATTCATCATGTGTATCTTTTTCCGAGTATCAATCAACTCTTGTGTGACAGCTCTGTTTTTTTTCCTCCTCCAAACCACACTTCCAAGGCTCGGCTGAATTATTTTGCCATCATACTTATCTCATCCTTTAGCTCTTGAATCTCATTTTTTCACTGGATGCAGTAAGTGCATTCCTCTTAGAGCATTACTCTGTCCAGCAATAATATCCATCTCATACGCCTACATCATTCCTACTACTTCTTCGAACTCAATAGTATTCGTATTCGAAGAGGTTCCCATAGCCGTCTTCTTGCTCTCAAACCTTCAAGGTAAACATCTTAGAAGCTTTTTCAACATTTGTTTCATCTTTGTATTTCTTACCAAGATTTTGAGCTTCACCTTCTATTGCTGACAGTTTTCCAATGCATTCTTCAATAGTTTCTTCATAGCAATAGTTTCAAAGCGATATGAAAGTATGTTTGAACTGGTTTTCACTAACCGAATTAAAAATCAGAGATAGTGCTGTTGAGTTTACTGTAGCAATGCTGTTCCCAGCATCATTCCATTTTCCATCTGGTTTTAGAGTAGTTTTTCCATTTTTAGACTACACAATCGGAGGATCCCATCCTAGATTTCTTGCAGTCCATGCATCTACTCCAAGTCAACAAATGAGTGGACGTCTTACAGTTACAAATTGCTTGGGAAAGTCCATCATTTCCGCAAGATCTTCACCTGTTGTTAAGATACAACTTTGTTCAAATGCCTGCTCTGATACCAAATGAAAGTCCAGATGAACACAAGAACGATTCCCCAAAACTTAGCATTAGAGCTTATACATTTATTAGAAATCTAATTAAGAAGTTACAACTCTCTTAATTGGATTTACACAAAACCTAAACTACTTTAACTTGTCACCGGAGATTTCTAACACACACAACAGATCTAAAGAACATGATCTCTTATATTCTTGTACGCCGAAACAGAGTAAACGTTACTCTCTTGGATTGAAAAAGAGTGTGCTACTTTTTCGATCTATACGGCTAACCTAGCAAATTACTTAGCACCACTTTTATATTCATGAGGCCTCTAAACCCTAACCCCTACCTTATAAACCCAATTTAGTTATTCAAATTCGTCTAAATGGGTAACACCAAAACCTAACTTCTACCTTATAAACTCAAACCGATATTTAACTTCGTCTAACTGTATAACACTATACCCTAACTCCTACCTTTTAAACCCAAACTGATATTTAACTTCGTCTAAATGTAAAACACTATACCCTAACCCCTACCATATAAACCCAAACATTATAAGTTAAGTCATAAATCATTTTAATATAGTCTAATGAGGTTTCCCATTGTTTGAATCTGTTTGTTTAGATAGTGAACTAAACATATAAGTTTACATGATTGTCTTATATAAGTCAACCATGTGGTAATGTAAACTCCAAACATATCCAGATGTTCGTATCTATATGGTTACAATATAAAAGAGCGATATCAAGCCTAAACCCTAACCCTTGCCTTATAAACCCAATCTGATATTTAAATTTGTCTAAAGGTATTACACTAAACCATAATTCCTACCGAGTAAATCCAAACAGATATTTAACTTCGTCTAAATATAAAACACTAAACCCTAACTCCTACTTCATAAACCCTACCTATATTTAACAGTCCCCTGTCAATCAATTGAAACATCACCCAAATCTCGTTCATCGTGGTTGCTTTCACGCATCCAAAACCTACAATCATAAAAAAAAACATCACAACTATAAAACTATAATAATATATATATAAAAAAACAATGTAAAAAAGTAGGGTTTAGCTATGAACCGTAAGTAGAAACATGCAAAATATTTATATTAAGCTAAGAGGCGGTACACTTTAGGTTTTTTATTTTTTTGATGATAATAACTACAAAAAAAAGGAAGTTTTATATATTTTTAAATCACATAGTTATCTTATCAACTAATATTGGTAAAACTGCCATTTTCATTTTTATCCATGTTAAAATATAATAATCTAAGAAAATTTCCTTACTTTCTTAGAATATATGGATAAAAAATAAAGAGATCAGAGAAATTATTTTTTTTATAATATCTACCTAAAAATAGTATAAATTTTATATTTATTAATTATCTACATAAAGTTTAAAGAATTGTTTTATTAATTTTTAAAATATATTATCGACCCAAAAATTAGAAAATAGCTTTACTCATCACTATTCCATGTTAAAAAAAATTAACCAAGATCTATAGTGTCGAGAAAAGTTAATCACCATTATACATTAATTAATTACCCTTTGTTCTTCATTTTTCCCATTTTTATGCCGTATATATATATATATGAAATAACAATTTCAATGTAATGCTGAATTTTTATATATTTCGGAAAGATAACAATTACCAATTTGTATATTCTCCAAATTTAATCTTAATATATTTTTTTGTCAAAATCTTAATCTTAATTTACATATTTTCATATCAGATAATAATCTGAATATTTTATCATCTCGGATAATTTAAAAATTTATCATTCTGATAATTAAGTATAAAATAAATTTATCACACTATATGTAAATTTTTTTAAAAAAAACTTGATAAGAAAAGATAAACTTCTTTTTGTTACAATGTTACTACATTTAGAAGTTTCTGCAGCTTAAACTCAAACACATAATGACAAATAAAAAAAAAAAAACCAAGCACATGTGATTATCATCGTGGTCTCACGGACACATGGAAACATATATAATTACTTAATTTTTAGTTAGGTTCAAATAATTGTTTATCAATATGCAAATTAATATGATTTTTTTTTTTTTTTTGCAAGGATAGCTTCCGTTTGTTGTCCTCATTTTCATACAAAAAAAACACAAAACATTATTTTATATTTTCTTGGAAATATATATCTACTGGTGTATAATTATTGAGACATTTGACATTGTCACAAAGTAAAAAGTTTATTTATAACGAAAGAAAAACAAACAATTAAAATCTACAATTTTCCACATTTAGTGGGAACACATGACACCGTTTCTTTCTCAAGATCATGAAGTACATTAAAATTCAGCTGCTGAACATTTTCAAAAACAGACATCCCGATAGAACTTCCCATGGCAAAAAACCAAAACGCCGGTGATTGAATCCACCACCATGTAATTTTTTCCTGAAAGCTCCAAATCCAAACCTTTAAAATGAAAATCATCTTAGGAACATCAATATTCTTGACTGCATTAGGTAACTTGAAGCACAAGTCAAGTTTCGTCAATCTATAGTCATCAAACTGGTAAACTAATCCGAGAAGTAAAAAGCATGTGTATTCCACAAGACTTTTGTTTTACAGAAAATGGAGATCTGTCTCAAAAATTTATTCATACTATAATAATGTTCTTAATCAGAACCTTAAATTTGAGAAATATGAATGTTATGCTTATATTATATCACATCTAGAAAAAAAAAGATACAAAATGGGCAAAAAAAGTCAACAAAGAACTTCCAACTTTCGTAGCCTTTAAAAAGGCATCAGTGTTTGCGTTTCTATATATCTCCGAACACAATCTCCAAAGCGAGCTCTGTTCCCCGTGTTGGCAACATTTTTTTCTTATCGGTTTGGTTGTGACTCACACAGTTTCTCCAATAAACTCGCCTTCGCCAAAAGACGATTACTCTGAGCTTCGACCTTAGGTTCTTTTCTCCAACAACAAACCAAACGATACCGTTACCATCGCCTTTCACCACCATCGAACCTCTTCTTCTTCTTGGATTGCTTGGGGACTTAACCCAAGTAGTACTCAGATGGTTGGGATGCAAGCGCTCGTCGCCTTAACCAACTCAAGTGGCCAATTCCAGGCCTATACCTCTTCCGTGAGTTGATACGGCATCCAGTTCACGTAGTAGCCTTACCTTCCATGTGAACCGTGTTATCCGCGAGTCTGGTCAATGGGGAGGCTACCATCTTCACAACTCTTGAGTTACCACCGAATTTGATCACGACCAACCAGTTTTGGCAGGTAGGGCCTGTTGTTAATGCCTTTCCTTGAGGAATAAAAGGACAGGAGATAATATGAGATCGAGTGGTAGGACTGATTTCCGAACATGTCATATAAAAGACTCCATTGACCACATATCTTTGTTTTTCGCTAATCAAAGAGCAGAGTTGGAGAAAACAAACGAATTTCTTGGAGTGATCTTTTCGTAGTGGAATTATTCTTGAGGTTTATTGGTCTTCCTGAATCATGCAAATAAAAAAGAAGAAAATCTCTTGCCTTCTCCTTTTCTAGTCGAAGATCAAAAACAAATAATCAAAAAATCATCGAATAAAAAATAACCATGTTTATTTAAAAAGAATAGAGTAGGTCTAACTACACAGAAACAGAGATATTCCAAAAAATTATTGTTTATGTAGGTTTCCATTAATACAATTTGAATCAGCTAAAACCATCTTATTTAAAACCACATCATAACAATAAATAATAAAGAAGATGTATGTACTACGGTCTAACGTACGAATTAAACTGATGTATTTGAAACAGCGGTGGAAGTCAAAAAGGCAAATTTACAGCTTTAGCTATGAATCTTAGAGAAAATTTTAGGGATCGAGCTACGAATCTGTTGTATTTGAAACTGGTATTCGTGAGTCCAAAAGCGAAGGCCGTGACAGCTCCAAAAGATAAGAGAGACATATGTTGTCTTTTGATGGATGAGACACTGGAAGCAATGAGAGTTGAAGAAAGCTATATCCTGAGTTATTTCAAAGCTCATCCTGCGAATAAAATCAATAAATAGATCAAACAAACCTAAATGCAATTCATTGCTTTAGAGGCAATTCCTCAAACAGGAGTTGAAGACTAAATTTTTGAATAATGTTCGTAATCTTTAATGATCAATGAAAACAAACGTCTCTTTGTTAACAACCTGGTCAAAACCATGAATATTGGAAAATCATGAACATAGACAATAAGAAGATCAAGTACGTTTCTGTCTAATGAACATGTTTAGCTAACGGAAAAAAAAAGTGTTTAGCTAACGAATCTAAAAGGGTTCAAAAAAAGAAGCATGTTACCTCTGCAATCTCGCTCATGATCTCATCTTGAAGAGCCGCTCGTGGATACGACCCATGATTTGTCCCTGAATTTCAAAACATATTTAATGTGTTTTGGAAGAAAAATATATATACGCTAGGGTTTATAGCAGCAAAAAAGAAGAGCAAATAAATAAATTCACGATAAATAGAAAATATAGTTTGATAAGAGACTACCTTTTCGCAGGATGTAACAAACCCTAATATCTTTCGGAGATTTTATTAATTAAATCAACACGCATATAAAAACAAACAATTATGAAAAGCAAAACATGTAATCGATTAAAATATAAATCTCGTTTAAGAAGTTGATCAACAATTGGCAAAGATCTATGAGATCTTACTTTGATTTGAGCTTCGTTCGCAAGTCCACAATCCAAAAAGTTTATCCTTGTACCTGAGAAAAGAAAAAAGTGATAATCAAAAACATGAGAATTATCATGCATATAAAACCAAACAGCTACGAAAATCAAAACATGTAATCGACCAAGCTATAAATCTCGCGTAAACAACTCATCACAAATTGGCAAAGATCTTTGAGATCTTACTTTCCAAGTGATCATAACATAAAAAGGAGAAAAAAAACCCGACGACGATGCATCATAGAAAGGACCAAATTTGAGGTACAAAAAAGAACTATAAACCATAATTGCTATGCATAAAAAGTCAGCGGTGATGTTTGATTTTCAAGGGAGGCATCATATATTTATAGGAATTTCCAGCATAAGGTTTTAGGGTTTTACATATGACGGTGTAAATTATACCGAGCCTTTTTCGTAAAAATATAAACCCAATAAGCGAATAAGCGAATTAGGGTTGAAGAAACGAAAACGATATGTTTCCTTTTTTCACAATTTCGATTTTTTTTTGTTAATAAAATGGAAATTTCACTAATCTAATCTCATTAAAGGGAGGGGGGCAAAAACGACTGCTCATATTCTGAGAGCGAACGTGAGCACTTTCGACTTCTCCTTTAATATATAAGATTTTTGGAAACACGTTATCTATAGATTAGCTTTAAACGATTGTTATTTACATTAATTGTTTTTTTTTAAATGGCAATTAGAAAATAAGCGAATATAGATATGGAAAGATAAAGTTTAAGAGATAATTTAGGATCTAAATAGTTTTGTTAATATCTTTTATTAAATTTTTCAAATTTTGAGAATTAAAGTCAATGACATTTCTTGTAAATACATTCCAACTCTAGGATTTATTTCATATTTGTACTTGGAATATATATATATAGATCATTATATATTTGTTTTTAACATTGATTAAATATATAAACTTTTAAAAAAAGAAACATTGATTACATATAACACAATAAAATAGCACGAAAACAAACGAAATGAAGGTTTTAATAAAGAAAAACTTAAGCAAAAATTAAGCAAAAATTAGGAAAAAATGAATTGAAATTTTATATTTAATTGATGAGTTGCATTATTATTATTAAGTAAAATAATCTACTATTTTTTCTCATAAACCATCACACTTACAGAACTATGTGTATACGCTTAGTTGTGCACATTTATATAGAAAATCTGATATAATAATGTTTTTTTTTTGTTTTGTAAATTTATTGTGATTATCACTTAAAAACTATGTTTTCAAAATATTACTACTAGATTTGAATAAACAAAACATATATTTATTTTTGATTAAAAAAAAATTGTAGAGACTAGAGACAATCAAAATATGATATTTTACATATTGATATCTCTTGTGTACAACCAAACTGGAGTATGTTCAGCGATATAGATAACGGATTCGTCACACCAACGAGTCAACGACGTTTGATCACTCCAACCTATAGTTTGAGTACAAGAGAAGCAATGACGGAGTAATCCACTATTCGTTCTTGATATTAAGGGATGTTCGTTTGATGTTTGTCCTACAACGCTGGTGTTTTAGGAATCTTGAAGATAATACTTAGTACAAAAAAAAGTTTCAATGCGTTACAATTACCTTTCTGTTTAAGATTTGTGTCATGCATTATAAAACCTTTCGCGGAGAAATAGCAAAATTGACATAATTTTGTGGAAATATCCATTCAGTCACCGTCATTACTAATTATTTCCCTTCCAAGATTTTTTTTTTGTTGGTCTCATTTAGTGTCCTCGTCGTTTATTGGGTTTTCTTGGGTCAGACTTCTATATTTACTAACAGTAACCATTTTTTATTAGTCAAATGAATCCAGTAGTAATTACAATAAAATAAATATTTCCACATGTAAAATATATACAAAAAACAAACATTTTAATCTAAATGGACTATAAAAACAAAAAATCAATAAAACATAACTTCAACCTCACCATCAAAAGATTTACCAAAGAACAAGAAACTTAACTAGTGAAATGAAAAAAAAAACACATCTACTTTGAGAATGAAAATAGTTTTCTATAAGATTTTGTTATTGGGTTTTCTACTTGTAGCCGTCATCCATAAGTAAAAAATAAAATTTTTTTAAAATTCATAGAGGAATTGATAAGCCTGTGGGAAAAAAAAAACTTTCAAGTTCACTTTTTCTTTTTGAGTGAATTTATAGAACTGTATTATTGGGCCTAAATGGGCTTTGTCACTTGGATATTGTAGCCCAATTACGTTTAGATGTTGCTTGTGTATTTTTTTAGCCGTGCATTCTTCCCAGTACTCGAATCTAGATATATCTCTCATAAATTTGACATGTCTCACAAGACCATAATAAGTTTTTCGGTTTGGGTTTTAAAAAAATGTCCAAAAAATTAAATTCAAAAGTTTTTCATATGTTCACAAAAGCTTTGGTTCGAACTTGGAAACTTCACAAACTTTTGAAAATCTTCCAGTAAAAAGAGTAATTCATTTTATTGGTCAACTTTTAAACTATGTAAACCCTATATTATGCAATTCAATTAACAATTTCTTTAAAACATCGTTAAATCCATAAAATGTTCAATCACGAAATTGAAATCCTAAACCCACTTCATTCTCAGTACTTTATCCCGCATGAAGCATGACCATAAAATATTTGGAAGATGAAGGTGATCACAAACTTACATTCTTGTTTTTGCGCACACACACAAAAAAAAAAAACTAAATCAATAACTAGCAACCACTTTACTTTTCTTTGTAATCCAACTCACACAGTATAATCTACAAAAATCTCATTAAAATTCAAATGATGATCAACAAGAGGAAAATATCAAACACATAAAGAGCTATTTCCAATAAGAAATACTTAGAAGATTACATTTCTCTACTTCAAACCTAAATCACACTTAACAGATTATTATTATGAAAACTCTAAGAAAAAAACATTACAAGCCAAAACTTTATTCAAAAGAGAACCTACAAAGAGACAATGAAATGCTTAACTGCTTAAGCCTATTCACATATTACTACATACTAAACCCTAGAAGCGAAACTAAAGACTTGTTTAACAAGATTCCTTCGAATCTTCCCCTTGAAAAAATAAAAGAAGAATTCGAAAAAACGTTTCATAACAAAAGATGTCTCTAGAGCTCTTTTAAATCCCGACGATCAGAGAATGCGAGATCGGACCGGTTTAAACGATCGGAGAACCGGACATTTTCGTTGGTTTAAGGTGGATTTGGATGATCGGAGAACCGGACATTTTCGTCGGTTTAAGGTGGATTTAGATGATCGGAGAAAGAAATGAATCATGCGATATCCAAACGCAGGATTCTGATGAGATCATTAGTTGCATCGGAGACGTTTTTCTTAGCGAAGAACGCCGGTAAAGGGACTTCGCTAGGCGGCGGAGAGGTTGATGTGACTGGACCAGCGTAAAACAAAGCCGGCATCAGTTTCCGGTTTGGAATTCTAATCGGATCCGAAATCTTAACCGGATCTGAACCGATTTGACGGTTAGGTTTCAGATCTGGCTTTTCAATTGGTATCTTAACGGTGATATCTTCGGCACATTTCAGAATTCGTACCGGATTGGTGTTGTTGAGAGGAGGCGGAGGAGGATGAGAGATCGGGGTTCGATGACGTGGCGGACTCCGGCGACGGCGATTTGTTACCGAGTTTTTATGAGAACAATCATGAGGATGAAGAACAGTGACTCCCATGGTGATATCTGAGATCTAGAAGGGAAGGGAAATGAAATGTTGGGAGGAAAATGAGAGAATTGGGAAGGAGAAGGGTATAACTGTAAATGGGAGATATTTTTGAGAGAGTGGAGGAAGAGAGATTTTTTATACAGGATTGTTTGTTTAGTTTAGTTAGGTAAGCGTGTCTTCTTCGATGGCAGAAATGTGGTTTGGTTTTTTTTAGCTACGTCTCTCACTTGTACCACAACTGTATGTATCTCACGCGCTTTATTTTTTATTTTTAATTTCGTTTAAAAAGTTCATCTCTCTCGTTAAACGAAACGTATTTTCACTATTTTCCCTTGGACCCAGAGAAAAATAAATGAATTTTTTTTTTTTTTCTGATTGGTAATTGTTGGAGTAATAAAGCTGAAATGAAAAAGATGGAGGCATTGATTGGTACCATTTTACAAAGCGATACAAAGCGTTACTCCCTCTGTTTCAAAATATATGAAGTTTTGTTTGAAATCACACATTTTAAGAAAATTTATTTTGCTTTTTTAAAACTATCATTTAATATTTGGTTTTAAAAATTCAACCAATTAGAGAAAAGACTGTAGAATACAAACAGCCATAAAATATCAAATACATTTAAAACTGCATAGAAAGTGCAAAACATCATATATTTTGAAACAAAATAAAAACTCTAAAACATCATATATTCTGAAACAGAGGGAGTACAAAGTATACAGTTTTGACAGTTACCAATCACAAAAGCTTTACCAAAAGCGTTACTAAAAGTTTTATTCTCAGATTTTTGTACAGCTTTCTCGTACAGCTTTGCACTATTCTGGAAAAGCTAACAGCTAACAGCTTTTGGTTACCAATCGAACCGAAAGTGGAGGAAAAAAATATTATTAAGGTTTTCTGTAAAAAATACTTTCCGATTCGTCAATTTTTTCAGTTTCATTTTTCATCTAAAAAAAATGCATATTAATTTTATGAAGTTAAAAATAATACGTAATATAATTCTTATACGTTAATTGTAACCGTTTTTACGGTCGCATACATTTTTTTTTGTCAACAGTTATATTAGATTGGCTCAAGCAAACCATTATTGGGGAAAATTGTTTACATAGGTGATTAGATGCGGCTGGATACGAACAGTTCGACCCAGGTTATCCGTTTTCACATTTGCATTTCGAGAAACTAAAGATAAAGAAAATACGTCGAACTCTTCCTTGTCACTCTGAATCGCATCTAGGTATGTTGCAAACGCTGGCCACTCGTGCGGGGAAGACACCATCTTCACCAGATCGGAGCAGTCTGTAAGGAAAGCTACTTCTCTCTTGTCTTGGCCGATCATACATCTCATCGCCCAAATTAATGCTTCGACCTTTGTGTGAAGTGAGGTTAAGCTTCTTCGAAGATTTGCAGCTCCCATATCTTGCGTTCCATTATTTGGTCTAAAACAAAACCATCATATCCCGGAAAATCGATCACTCTCTTTCTAGTACCCTTCTACAAAACACCGAAACCCATTCCCGGTCACATATATTAAAATTTTAAAATTATAAAAATAGAGGAACTCCTCGTAATAAACTTTTAGGTAGCATAAACTTTTAGATAGCATAAATTTTTTAGGTAGCATAAACATTAAAATTATTGTAAACCCTTATAAGTTAAAATTCGTATTATAAACTTTTATGATAGATTAAAAACTCAATGCTTTATCTTTTTTTATGCAACAGCAAATAGCGAGAATAGAAAGAAAAAATATTTTTTTTCTTTTAATTGGTAACTTTTTTCAAAATTTAAGAGTAAATATGTTTCAGCTATTTATTTCTAGCTAATATATCATCTAGCTATCATCCAATTAGACTCTTCAATTTTATATTTATTGGATTCGATCTATAGTTGTCACAATAAGAGATCTTATTAAGAGAAAATCACTATCATAAATATAATAACACGTATAGTAGTATTTATCACTCAATGAGTCAATGGTTTTAAAAATATTTTGATTTCTGATTCCACCTCCTATTATATAATCTTTTATAAATCATTAAATCAAATGAATTATAAAATAAAATATCAACTATCAAAAAAATAAAAATAGCTTTCAATCTTCAATCTAGTAAAATTCTATGTCTATTTCTGATTTTAACGACAAAAAATACGAACTATCTCTATCGCAAAAATTTACATTTTTTTTGGGCAAAAATTTACATATGAACTATTTTATTGATGTAGTGACAGCTATGATTCTTTTAATATGGGACTTTTTCATTTTCGTTTATTTTTTCATTATTGTTGGGCTTTTGATTCATATCGTTTACTTTATGTTTATATATCGGCTAATAGATTGCTTTGTCTCCAAGCTTAGACAATTAGGGTTTTCATTTAAGAGTAGTATTTGTACTAGGCCTGGGCAAAATATTCGTTCGATCCGCTTTGATTCGGTATTCGATTTGATTTGATTCGAAAAACCCGAATATCCGTAAAATTTTGAAGCAAAGTAAATAGAAAAATATAATATTCGTTAAAACCGAACCAAATACCAAATACTGTTTTTTAAAAAGTTGGATATCCGCTTCGATCCGTATTTTCCTATATATATTAGAATATATATTATATATATATATCATAATATAGTTTGTGTATTTGTATCTTTTGGGCTTGGGAATTAGTTTGATGGCAAGTTCTTGATCGATGATATCAACAATGGTTACGTTTGTTTTTTGGAATATATTTTGAAAGCATATCAAACAAGAACTTTGATATCTGATATTTTGTTATTTTATATAGTTTACGGTTTTTTTTTAAACATTTAGATGTATAGCGGATATCCGCAAATATCACAAAAAAATCTGGATATTCGAATTTCCGGATATTCGCAAATATCACAAAAAAATCCGGATATTCGAATTTCCGGATATCCGAAAATTTCCGAATCAAAGCAAATCACAAAATCGAGTATTCGGTTAAGACGAATCAAATATCAAATATCACAAAATTTCTAGATATCCGCTTCGTGCCCAGGCCTAATTTGTACTATTATTCATGTATCGTTAAGTCTTGGTTTTTGAGTCAACAAGAAAATAGATTTATTCTCGTTTATTCCTTGTTTCTTTGGGTATTCCCGTCGAGTCTCTCTAAGTCAATAAGACAAGAGACTCGGTATTCCTTTGAGAAACAACGATCCCTTTTGTGTCAGTATCGTTTTCCGGATCAACCACTCTTTATCGTAGCTTAAGATACACCATTTACCATATCGATTACTATAACCATACAAACGAAATTTTTTAACGCTAAATATAACACGAAATATAATAATTTGGACGAATCTTACATTGACCTAATTAGTGAAACTTAAAAGAATCTTAAGTCCTTAATCATTTTTGGGATTATGAATCTTTGTAATAAAAAAATAAGAACCTCCACCTGTGGTTTTATTTCACTGTGAATTAATATATCACGTTGAACTTATCACTACCAAAGTAACACACCTACATTTTGCTAACAAATTAAAGTAACGTTAAGTAAAGATTTAGGAATTGATTTACGATTAAATAAATTTTAATAATCCCAATCCCTAGCTTTCTTCAACAGGATCGTTTATTCGAGAATAGTACCGATGTTAAAATGAAATGCACTTAAATTTGTAAAATCTAGGTTTTTTTTTTTATTATGATCAAACAAACTTTTAGTTTATCCAAATGAAACGAAAGCTGCATCACAAAACTGACCATTCCACCTCCGAGTCATAGAAGCCTTCATTATCTCAACGGAAAGATCTGGATTCCTGCTCACAAAAACCTTAAACTCAGCAGAGTCACACATCGTCCTCAAATTCCTTATGATAAATTTGACAGCATAGTCGTACAGGGTACTGTCGATAGGAATAACGGACAACTCGAAGATGTTAAAAACATTCGATGAGTTAAGAGATGCAATAAGCTCGTTTCTACATAGATCCCGCAAATGCGGAATCTCATATTTGTCTGCTGCTTTATAAAGTGATTGAACATGCTTCTTCTCTTTTTCAGAAAGCATGGATCGGTTGTTGTAGATGAACTCAACTAAAGCCTCCAATTCTTCTTGTTTAAGCTCAGAGAGAGTTACTGTCTCGATCTTCCCATCCGAAGCCTTGAACTTGTCGAATTCAAGAATCTTCTTAATCACCTCTGATCTTGCTGCCTATTAACATTTGAAGAATTATAACAATAAATAGTGGAAAGCATTTCAAGAGTAAGATCCAAGACTAACATAATCATTTCTAAAGTTAATCTTGTTATTATTGAAGCATTTCCAAAATTGTTTCTTAAGTCAGGTGATGATTAATAGAAAAGAGAAAAGAGGTAGAAAAAATTTAGAGACCATAACAAGTTTGTGGGCGGAGATAGCTTCACCCTCTTTAGTGTCCCCTGCCTTGAGCAGTAGATCGACTTGCCATTGTTCACCTAAGATCTTTGCAAATCCACCCAAGAAAGTTTCTAGGTTGCTCTGCGGTGCCATAATAGCTATGACTTGGACTGTGATTTAGTAAACGGTGGTGAGTTATATAGAGAAAACTCCATAAACGACCGTCAAAATTACCCTTGTTTTTACTTTCTTTGTTTCCCAAGACTTACGAAATGGAGGAGAAAATTAATGATAAAACATAAAGTCCCAAGTCCCAACTTTCAGTCACCCTTCTCTGTTTAGAATCCGAATTCTATGAACCAAATGGATGTTTCCGAAGTATTTTTGAAAATATAAGTTGATTGTTCAATGGAATATTTTGCTATATATTTATCTTTTGACCAAGTATTTACACTTGTACGTTTAGTTGTTTTCTTAACATCTGAATATTTATTGATTATAAAGCTTTGACACAAAGTAATATTCTATATGCTAGACAGTTTCGTAGGAAAATAACTAGGGCTAGGTGTCCGATTCTTCGGTTCCATTCAGTTCGGTTCTTCATTTCCAGCCCCTTAGGATGCATAAGGGAGCAAAAAAAATTGGTTAGGTTACTTGTCAGTTGGGTTTGGTTGGAATACTTAGAAAAAGAACCGTTAAATAACCGAACTCCAATGATAATCGGTTCAGTTCTACTTACTTATCCAAAATACTCAAAAGTTTACAAAAATTCATCTATTGACTATTGAGACAAAAATGTATTGTACCGAAAATAGGTTGAGTTAAAGATTGGGTCAACATGTATTGGGCTTAGTTCTAGGTTTGTAGAGGGTTGATCAAACATTTTTGGTTCCATTCGGGTATCCATGAATCTATACTATATAAAAGTCGAGGCCATAAGCTTCTACGGCCGTCCACATACGATTTTAAACGACCAATCGCGAATAGCCACTTCGTCGGTTAACATTTTTATATACCATGTTAATTAACATTTTTAAATTCTAATATTTTCTATAATTAAATATTAATAAAAAGGAAATGAATAACAATCTATGGAAAGAAGAAAAATGTGAATTTTTGAAATAACAAAATATAAAAATAAGAAAAATGTAAAGTATAGATTTGAATATTATTATGCAGCGAATATACTTTTATTTAGAAATTTTCTAATTAAGAAATGTAAAATTACATAAGGTAATTATGACGGTTTGTCCTGGACATTAAACTATAAATACTGAACCTCCACCACACACTTAGTATTTAGTTTCAAACGAATTTACTATTATGCGGCTTTGATTATTTTTTTCTCGTGCTACAGATTTTTTTATTTATTTTTCTATGAAATATTAACAAATAGTTTAATTTTACTGATTTTAGACTGTTTGATTTGTATTTCAGGTTACACTAATGAATCGAGTGTAGGTTCATTCAATTGTGACTTTTAAAGAAATTACAAGGTATTATTGATCCTAAAATTTATGTGGCTTTCAAATTGTTTCCTTGTGTGGATATTGTTAATTTCTTTGTGTTAAATATATGCATGAAAAGTGGTTCGCATATAGAAAGTAAAGAATTTAAATAAATAAAGTTAAAAGAATTATATATTGAAGAAGAAAAACAAGAGAAGCAAAAAGGTAATTCTTAAAAAAAAGGAAAAAATATATAATTATATATAGGGTTCTATATATTATTATCGTTTGATTAATCTAAATTCTATGTTTTTGAATTATCTTTTTAACCATGCAATGCTTCTTCAGAAACCAAAGTTTGGCGTGTTTGTTTGCCAATCTAACCTATTACGATGACAATTATATTAAAGATGGCAGGTGACTGTTTTTTTTTTTTAGTTGTTCGTATTATTTTCGAGTATCTTTTTATCATCAATAAGAAGACAAGTATGAAGGAGTAGATTTAAATATTATGAAGATTCTATTGTTATTCAATTTAAGATTTTTCAAAAATCTATCAAAGTTTGATGTTATTTGTTTATGTATTTGTAAATAGTAATTTAAGATCTTCATAAATTTGGAGTTATTGGAGACCATGATTTTATCAATTTGAAGCTCTAAAAAGTATAAAAATTTCATAGCTTAAATCGAAACCACTAGCTTCTATACTACATAAAATTCGAAGCTATAAGCTTCTGAAACTGTCCACAAAATTTTAAAATACTAATCATGATTAGCCATCTCGGTAATTAGCAATTTTAGATTCTAATAATTTTCTATATTAAGATACTTATTAAAAGGACAAGACAATATTTATATTGAAACAAGAAAAATGTAAACATGAAAAAAAACATATGGGAAAACAAAAAATGAAAATTCTGTTATTGAAATCTATAATAGAAAATTAAGATACTTTAGAAAAAAGTTAAAAAAAAAAAACAATATCTATGGTAACAAGAAAAATGTAAACTTAAAAAAAATATATATGCAAAAAAGAAAAATGTAAAAAAAAATTTATTAGAATATATAAAATAATATCACTATTAGTCTCACCAAATTTGTCAATATCCCTTTTTAATCACAATTAGGGGTATGTCGAGTTAAATTTGATTCGGTTATTTCGATTTTAATAAAACATCAACTCTCTAATCAAACTCATTTCGGTCCATAATTCGGTTTGGCTTGATTCGGTTTGTTATTTAAAATAAATTATTTATAAAATTGAAAGCATGGCAATAAATTGAAGCAAGAAAAATAGAAATTTTATAACTGGAATAAATAAATAAAAAATTTGAATTGAATAATCAATCCAGAGGTATGTGAAAAAAAATAAAAATAAAAAGGTATATAATATATATATATATATATATATATATATATAACATGTGTAAGTTTATTCATTTGTTTATTTTCATTTAAATGTTGATTGGTAATTTTTCATGTTTCAAGTTTGATTTTCGGATATTAGATCATTTTAATTACTAAAATTTTGAAGTCCTTTTTTATATACTTGAGTAAAATATGACACATCATATTTGTAATATGTTTTATACCAAGTTTTATCCTATAAGATTTTCTTTTATTAAAACAAATTTTTAACCAACATAAATGATACTAAATATATGAATAAAACAACATTTATGCTAAAAAGAATTTTAAAAATGAAACATTATTGTAATTAATTGAATACTAAACCCAAAAATATATTAAACAATCAATAAAACTAAACCCCCGCGTAGCGGGGGTTATAACCTAGTATTGGATAATAATTGAACCGATAACCGTGGATAGGGTGACTGAGATCCATTCATATAATTAGTGGTATCCATAATCGATTTGAAACTCTTTTTTTCGTTTCGGTTCGGTTAAATTCTTCAGTTTCGATTTTGATGCCTAGGCCTAAAAATAACTATACTTTTTCAATTAACAATTACAATATTTTTTTACGTTTCCCTAATTTAGCTTTCTATGTTTGTTATCTTTAATTATATAAAAGATTATTCTTAACATTTTTTATTTCAAATAAACTAAGAAATAATCCTTCCTTTACGAGGGGGTCATAGATAGTGACATGCCACATCTTGAGGTCGATGCTGAGACCAACCCAATGCTCTTGTGACCAGTTCAAAGGGACGTAAAGGACGTCGATGTCCTTTAGCCACTTGAGCATAGGTTGACGGTTAATGCGTTCACCATTTGCAATTTTGTAGAGCAGTTCACCCCATTTGAAACTCTCCTTTTTTTTTACACCGACTGAATTCATTTGCACGCCGTGAGAGATCGTACGTGAGTAATGAATCCAAAACAATTGCCCGACTTTTCCTCATATGTTCTCCATTCTTGTGCCACATCATGAGGGCGATTATTTCCAAGTGCTGAAAATGTAAACACGACTATGATGTTGTGTACGTATAAAATATAATAACCGTATAATGAGCATATAACGTGTACATATATCAATACATGTGTACGTATATCAACAAATGTGGACGTATACCAACAATACGTACATTAGATTGAACCCATTCACCAGGTTTTGCAAGGGTGGCGAAAAACCGGTTCTCTAGTTTTCGTAATCCAAAAACTGTGTGGACCCTGAACGTCGGAGCAAACAAAATATAGTTAAATACATGATTTGCATTTAAAGTGAAAAGAAAGAGTATATGATAGATAATAAAGTTAGAGATTCTTACACATCTGGTCCATTGATGATATCAGTTAAAAGCTGGAATTTTGCATCGTTCACCTTCTCTAATGGGTTGTATAGTTCATTTCCGGCCTTGACCAAAAACGCAGAGTTTGATGATGATTCTTTCGTCTCAATTAATATCTCGACATCCTTGGAATCATCAGGAATTTGACCACACTTCCTTCCACACCTGCATCCTTCTTGGGTTCCTCCTACACCAAAAACAAATGTCAAATTATTTTACATTCATATTTAATACCTTAAAGGAATATGTATAAAAATTTATTAACAACAGCCTCTATAACTTACTTGATTTTCCGTGGTAGAGGCGGTTATATCCTCTTTATCCTCAAAAGTAACTCTTCGTTTAACAGATTTCTTCTCTTTTACGGGGACAACATCCTCAGGTTTTTGAGACTCACTTACTCCCATATCAAAATCATTTTTTGTTTCCTCCTGAAAAATAGATTGAGTTACTAAATCAAACAAATAGAAAGCTTAGATTGAAATCATTGCATGATATGTAAATAACATATATAGACTTACAAGATTTTGAGGAGCAGATGCGGTTGTTTTAGCCTCATCAACGATAGTGTCGTTATCTCCTCCCAAAATGATATCTGCTTTCACCATTGGTTCAACCTTATCGAAATAGCGTACACCACCATCAGTTATATGTACGCAATAACGCCTATGTACGTACATCATGTGTATAGAAATTATAAGTTAATTTAATAAACACAGTTACCTCGATGACATTGGTACCAGCAGTTACATCAACAGAGGTTCCCAACTCTTTTAGTACCTGATGAATACATAATTTTTACTTTGTTACTCTGTTACACTAATGAGGAACGAAATTATTGTACTAACATATAAGTAACTTACAGTGTATACGATTACAGAAGACGGTGAAGGCGTAGAACTAAGGTTGCCATCAACGCCAATAGCCCCTCCAGCATTCCTCTGACCAGCAATTGTAGGTTCATCAGCCGGAGAAGCCTACAATTGGTGCATTACTCATTAGTTAAGGGATAGGTCATTATTATCTGCCACTCAAAGTTTAACATTGACTTGATCATACCTACAATTCGTCAGCTCCACGTTTTGGGGAACTAGGAGCATTAAACAATTCTTGATCATCTCCAACGTTGCTTTCCTCCTAATGCAACATGTCCTGATCATCTCCAGTTTTGGTTTCATCCTCAGGCAAGACGTCCTCATCATCTCCAGTTTTGTGTTCCTCATCAGGCAACACGTCCTTATCATCTCCAGTGTTGGTTTCCTCGTCAGGCAACACGTCCTTATCATCTTCAGAAATGTCTGCCATTTCAGTGTCAGACTTATCTTGTTGTTTGGTAGCTGAATCTAGCGGTCCTTTGTCATATTCACCACCATCACATATGACTTCGTCCTGAAATAAAGAAAATAAACATATTTATAGTTTATGTACGTACAGTACTACACTCTGTGACTATTTCTAGTACACGACATACCTCGTCAGAAGGTCCACCATAATAAAGTCCAGCACTTTCATTGTCAGACATATCTGCTTCTTTTCTAGCAGATTCAGGGGCAGTTTTCTCTTCATCCTGTAACATAAATAACATTATCATCGCAAACATAATGTATATACGTACATTATCTTCGCAAACATAATGTACGTACACGACATACCTTCTCAGAAGGTGGAGGTACATCATCAACATTGTATTCTGAAGTATTCATTTTCTTCAGCCGAGAAGATCTTCTTGTTCCAATCTGAACATTTCTGGATTTCTTTACCATTGGCTTGTCCACCTTTTTAATAGGGCTCTTTGATACCTTGGAAGGTTCAGGTTGTACTTGTGTTTTGCCCTTTGGATTTAGAGCAGCACGAATCTCCTCACGGATGAACTCTTTTAATTCCATATTATGTAGTTTGTTCCTTTGTGTTTCTTGCCTCCTCATACACCGCCTCAGTTCAACAACATACTTATCAAACCTCTCATCTTCTAAACTTTCCCCAGCGTTGTCATTCTCTTCAGCTTCAACATCAATTTTCTGTTTTTTATTAGCAACCGGAGCTCTTTGCCGTAGTTGCCTCTTTCGGACTGCACCAACTGAGTTTATTTATGTTTTTATATTAGAGGAGTATTTTCATAAATGAGAAAATCGTTTGTACTTATGCTTACCTTTCTCTTCTGGCCGCAGCTGCTTTGGACATTCATCATGACCTCCAACCCATGTGTTTTCGGACCACTTGTGCCCATCTATCAGCTTCCTCAAAATGTAATCAACTCTAGGATCCTCAACTTCCTTATTCCATACTAAGGATTCAGGACAATCAGTATCCTCTGGATCCACAATATAGGTGACATCCACCTATAAGATTTTGTTTTTAATGTCTTAGTGAATGTACGTATTATTTTATCATCCGATGTACGTATATTAGAAAGCGTACACACCTGATATGCAGCTTCGCACTCCAAGATACTGGAAGTCCGGATTTGATGCATTTTGGCCAGATTCTTGATTGACCTCTGAGTGAATAAGTTTACATCTGCAGAAGAAGGAACTAGCTTACGAAGAGATGGGATAGTTTGGAAGGCAAAAAGCTGCAGCGCTAATGGGAAGCCATAGACCATATAAGACTGCTGCTTGCAACCAATTATCACATCTTCTATCTTTTTAGCGGATTTGAATCTGGCTATCCTGTCCAGTGTACGGTTGAAAGCAAGCCTTCCCCATGGGTATTTGCAGAAGAAATCAAGGTCTTTCGTCATCTCAACTGTCTTTGAAACGGGTCGGACTCGCTGCTTCTGACAGATTAGAACACCATCAACAATGATTATCAGCGCTAATGCTAGTCTCTTCCATCCTGGCATTTTTTTCTCTGTCTTCAAGCTCACGACCAAATCATCAATAGTTGGAGACTTATTACCAAATAGAGTCTTCCTCACAGAAGTACATCCCTTTTTCACCGTTACCACTTTCTCCACAGCTTTTTTTTTCGGATACTTCCCACACTCCAAACCGGTTATCCGATAAAATTATCTTAATCCAAACCGCAGTGGATGACCACCAAAAACCATCCACATCTCATAACGTTTTTTGGTCACTAACTGACGGCAAATCAAGCCAAGAACTAGCTTGCCAGAAAATGATACCATGTTAGGAGGGATATTAAAGAGCTCCCCAAAAGGAGAAGATAGGAGAAAAGCCATTTCTTCAGTTCCTTTAAGGGCTGTTGCAATATCAGCAAGGTACTCCGGTTTGGAATACGCATTGATCTTCGTTTCAGTAGGGTACTTATCCAGAGCAAAAAGCCTCGGCGGTAACTCTTCACATCCTTCACCAATATTATCTTCTTCAATCGGATCCATGCTTCCTGCAAGTTATGTGTAATAGAAATATGTCAGTTTCTAATATCCATAACTAATTTAACATACGAACACTATAACGAATAAACCCTAGTAGGCCATATACGCATTTTTTTCAAAATCACTTAAAGTAGAAAAATTTATAACTCCAATTCCGCGTACGTACACAGAATAGAACATAAATCTTCTCAATTTTCTATTTTGGCGCAAAAATCGATTTAGTTTGAAAACCCAGAAATTAAATCCTCGATTCGAAATCAGTATCCCCATATTTAGGATTCCTGAATCCCCATCCCCAATTAAATTCGATTTCGGTGTTTACAGATACTTACCCTGACTTGTGCTTTCGGGCTCCGGCGGGGGACTCGGAATCTCGATTCCCTTCTCCGGTGAACTATTCGCTTCACCCTTCTTTGAACTTTTCGCCACCTTTGCGCGGCGCCGAGTCTTCTTCTTCAATAGATTCATTTTCTTCGGCGTCATCTGTACTCTGCTATCTTACTCGTCGGAAATTTCTTTGCTTCTCGGCAAAACGGAAAGATAATGAGAGATTTTAAGAGGAATGGAAACGGAATTCGCCGGAATTTTTTTTCTTTTGTTCGTTTCCAAGTAGAAGAATCAAAATGAGATATTAGATTGAAGAATGGAATCGGTTTGTACTCAGATTTTTCCACCTCTTTCTCTTCACTTTCTTCGCCGTTCTTCTTATTTTTATTTAATTTAAATTCAAAAATATGAGAAACGGAACGGCACAGTTAACGTTCCTAGTTGAGGGACATTTTCGTCAGAAATGTGGCTAATTGTCAATCGGTGAAAGCCTTTCCTCACTTTGTCAATTGGTGAGACAAATATTGAATAGTGTCCTTTTTGTGAAAATTTCTTTATAAAGAACTACTTAAGAGAAGACGTTCACTTTAATCTTTCACTTCCATATATTCCCTAAATCTGATATCCAATTTCTTTGCCGAGCCCATAAATAAATCCAAGTCGCAACTCTTCATTGTCATTTAGCGTGAAAGATTGTATATTTCTTAGTTATTGTTACAACTTACAAAACGTTCTAGACTTCTAGTTACCTTATTCGTAATAATTTACTTCATCTTCACTAGGCAAGTGTTTAACCGTACGTAGTCCCTTAGTCGTAATAATCATCAGAATCATCTTCGTATGGGTCCATAATCGGATTCCTGGCCTTCGTTACCTCTACGGCAAGATTTGGGTTTCTTGCCACAAACAACTTGAAGTTACCACAATCTACAATTGTATTCATATTCCTATCGATAAAACTCAAACATGCATTGTTGAGTGATTCGCCCAAAGGAACTTGGGAGAGCTATTAAATTTAAGTAAGTCAAGAGCATTCGAGGAATTCAGAGACGATATAAGCTCGTTTAAGTCTTGTAGATGCATCATCTTATATACATCGGCTGCTAGATAAAGCAACCTCAAAGAGTGAAAGAGGTGAAGAGGAGCTTCAGTCACTAGGTTATGAAACTGAATCCAAAAGTTACCTGATGGGAGTTATAAATGAGAAACTGGGAAGCCATAGGAGATAAGATTGTGGCCGCGTGGGAGACAATGAGTTTAGGATTATATCCCTCAGTTTCAAATTATAAGATGTTTTAGAGATTTTTTTGTTTGTTTCAGAATATAAGAAGTTTTACAACTTTCAATGCACATATTAAATGTAATTAACATTTTTGACTATTTATATTTTGCGGTCTCTTTTTTAATTGGTTGATTTTTAAAAAATTAAATATTAAATGATAGTTTTGATAAGAAATTTTTTTTTCTTAAACTATGTGCTTTTAACTAAAACATCTAATATTTTGAAACAGAAGGAGTATAACTTAAGAATATGTTTCAAGACAGAACGTTTCGTTTGCTTATTAGCATAAGGGGAAGAGGATGTTTATGAGATTTTTTTTTGGAAAGCTCCCTTTTATTGGCTGACGTTCTGTCTCTAAGAATGAAAGAAACAATTCTACGAAGGTTTATCATTGATAAGGTTTGGTTTTATGGTTTTGCATTGCTTTTATGTCGGTTATTTGATCACTATTTCTATTTGCAACGGTGTCTTTGTCAAAGTTTTATCTACTTTAAATCCTGATTGTCCTTTTAATAATTGATTCTGGATTACGAACATTAAATCATTGTAATAAAAAGACAAGGAACATCCACTTGTGTTTTTATTTCACTTTGAATCTCCATTCAAGTTATCACTACCAAAAAAAAAACAAATTTTTAGTTTATCAGAATGAAACGAGAGCTACAATATGGTTCTTAGGGTAGCTAGTTGAAAGTATGATCATTCAGGGCAAACTTCACTATTACAACGGCGATTTCTGGATAATTGCCAAAGAAAACCTTGAACTCATCAGAGTTACAAATCGTCTTCAAATTCGGTATGATATATCTGAGAGCATAGAAGGTCAGGACTCTGTCAATAGGATTCAATGACATCTCCAAGACGTTAAGAGCATTTGATGAGTTAAGAGATGTTATAAGCTCGTTTCTGCATAGATCCTGCATATGCGGAATCTCATATTTGTTCGCTGCTTTATAAAGTGATCCAACATGTTTCTTCTCTTTTTTAGAAAGTACAGAGCGGTTGTTGTAGATGAACTCAACTAAAGCCTCTAATTCTTCTTGTTTAAGCTCATAGAGAGTGACTGTCTCGATCTTTCCATCCAAAACCTTGAACTTCTCGGATTCCAGCATCTTCTTAAACACCTTTGATCTTGCTGCCTATTAACATTTGATGATATAATAAAGTGAAAAGCATTTCAAGTAATATCCAACACTAAACATAATCATTTCTAAAGTTAAACTTGTTTTTATTGAAAAGAGGTAAGAGAGAAAAAATTTAGAGATCATAACAAGTTTGTGGGCGGAGATAGCTTCACCCTCTTCAGTGTCCCCTGCCTTGAGGAGTAGATCGACTTGCCATTTTTCACCTAAGATCTTTGCAACTCCACCCAAGAAAGTTTCTAGGTTGCTCTGCTTTGCCATAGTAGCTATCACTTGAACTAGTGACTTAGTAAACTACGTTCAAAATTTCCCTCGTTTTTACATTCTCTGTTTCCCAAGACTTACGAAATGGAGGAGAAAATTAATGGTAATAACATAAAGTCACCAGTCCCAACTTTCAGACAACCTTCACTGTTTAGATTCCGAATTCTATGAACCAAATGGATGTTTCTGAAGTGTTTTTGAAAATATAAGTTGCTTGGTCAATGAAGTATTTTGTTACTGTATATTTTTATTTTTTGACCAAGTATTTACACTTGTTTAGTTGTTTTCTTAACATCTGAATACTTAAAGCTATGACACTTTGGCTTCAATTGGTAATAATGATTTAGAAAAATAATGAGAAGGAAGGTGATATTCCTCTTTGTTCCTCAATATTTTTACTATTTACAAGTAATATTTTTTCCACATCATTCTTCTACATTTCTCACCAAAAGAGGAACACTATAACAAAAATGTTCCTCTCCAAATTGATGAGGAACAAAATAGAACAAAAAATGAACAAATATTAAAATTCGTTTTTTATTTTAAAATAAATAAAAAATAATGTTTATCAATAATATTTATATTTTCTTATATAATAATTTTCATATCTTCACAATATATTAATAGAAAAAATATTTTTGATAAGAATTTCATGTTGAATTACTCTTAAGACTTCATTTGAAAATTATATAAATAGTAAAATAAATTTAAAAATATTTATATTGTAAAGGAATAATATATTTTAAATTACTCTTTCAATTTTATTTTATGTTAATATTAATTATTATTATTTAACACAATATATATAAATTTAGTTCACAAATTTTAGTTTCAAATTAAATAAATATAAAAAATATTTAGTATTTTCATTGAAATTTGATTTATTTACTTTTTAATATATTTTAAAAGATATTTTTATTGTTTGGTTACCATTCATCATAATGGTACATTTTATTATTTCTCTCTGCATATTTTCTTTTTCGTTCTTCAAAAATTGTTTGTTTCATTCCTCATTGTTCTTTTTATTCATTTTATTTTTGTTCTTTTAATGGGTACCAGTTGGAGCCAAAGTAATATTCATGTATACTAGACAGTTTCGTAGAAAAATAGAGAAGAGTGAGATTGCCACACGAAAGGGTTTCTTGCTATGACTAAGAGACAGTTTCATCGGTTCTTCGATTCTATTTGATTCGTTTTTTCGGTTCTTCGATTCTAGTCTCTTAAGATCCATAAGAAAGCCAAAAACATTTCGGTTTAGTTTTTTTGGTTCGGTTAAAATACTTAGAAGGATAACCGACAAATAACCGAACTACATTGGATGTCGGTTCGGTTCCATATATTTACCCTAAATGTTGATGTCGGATCCCGCACCAGTAGTCCGGGACCAACCAAAGATTGCCACATAGGCAGAGGGGAAGCCCACAAGGGATAAGGCCCATGAGATCCTCAGTTCAAGGGGAAGGATATGGGCGAAGTGGTCGCACCGCGAGGTGGGAACGAAGTCAAAGTCAAGGATAGTTCGGTTCGGGAATTTTTGGGCTAAAAGGTGAAGCCCATGAAGATCGGAATCAATTCGAATTCGAACGTTTAAGCAATAAACTCAAAGACCGAAACGACACATTTAAGAGAGAATAATTATATGTAATTAGGAATTAAATGTCATTTACAAGTATAAGTAAGAGGGCCAAGGACCATGTAAAAACACACACAATTTCCTAGCAAATATACTATAGCCATTTTCATACCAGTTGATAGCTTTTACACATCTATTTTTGTCCTCAAGAGTAATCCTTCTCACTAAATAAATAAATACTTGAGTGTGTGAATCCGACATCCACATTTTGGCGCCGTCTGTGGGGACGGAGGATTCTTGAGTTGTTAGATTTTCTTCACCACATTTTCGAGATAAGCAGCAATGTCCGGAGAAGACGCCCTTAGTTCATCATTGGCTGAGACTCTCAAAACCATGCAACAAACCATGTCGGAAATGTCACAAAAGTTCTCAGATGTGGAAAAGGCTGTTGACACGCTACAAACAACCCATGTATCTCTTAGTCAAAACGTCAGTACTATACAATCTCGTGTTCGTTCTCTGAGTGCAGGAAACCCTGTTGGAGTCCGAAGGAGAATGTTCAATTCGCCAAGCTCCCTTGCGCGAAATGGGACCAGCGGACAGACAACTCCTGATGCCGTTAACGCGGTAATTCAGCCGGAGGATGGGGAAATGCAGCTTGAAGATGAAGATTAAATTGCAGATCAGTACGAGCAAGAGAGACTCGACCAGTTCGAGACCATGAGAAAGGTCAGCCGGGAACTAAAAGAAATGAGATCAAAGTTCCACCAGGCCACTAGTTCGGAGCCAGATATCAATCGAGTCATTGAAGAAACTAGGCGAACACCTTTCATCCCGCAAATCGCAAGTTTGAGAATCAGAGATTCTCGGAAGCTTAATCTAGAGCCCTACAACGGATTGGAGGATCCGAAGAGCTATATCGCAGCCTTTTTGATCGCCGCTGGACGAGTCGACTTAGATGAAGCCAAGGAGGACGCGGGATGTTGGTGTCGGATCCCGCACCAGAAGTCTGCGACCAACCAAAGATTGCCACGTAGTCAAAATAATACCCATAAATGATGAAGCCCATTGGACCCATGGGCCGAAGGAGCGGTCGAAGTGGTTGTCACTACCTCGAGAATCCGAAGTGACTGCACTGTGACACGAGTTCGGTGTAGAAGACACGGGTAAGCCGGCTCAAGGACACTTGGGCCAAAAAGGCGAGGCCCATGAAGATCAGAGTCAACTCAAAATTCAAACGTTGAGCATTAAAGTCAAAGAATCAAAACGGACACATTTAAGAAGGAATAATTGTGCTTAATTACTCATTTTAATGTCGTTTCTCTATGTATAAATATAGAGGCCAATGGCCATGTAAGGGGGATCTTCCTCTCAAGAGAGAAATATTATAGCAATTTTCGTAGCAATTCACAAGTTTTTATACATTCATTTTTGTCCCTCAAGAATAATCTTTCCCACTTAATAAAATACTTGAGTGTGTGAATCCGACATCCACATTTTGGCGCCGCCTGTGGGGATATTAGGTTCTTGAGTGGTCAGATTTTTTCTTTATCACACTTCCGAGATAAGCAACAATGTCCGGAGGAGACGCCGCTGAGACATCATTGGCCGAAACCCTCAAAGCTATGCAGCAAACCATGTCGGACATATCACAAAAGTTCTCGGATGTGGAAAAGGCCGTCGATACGTTGCAAACATCCCAGGTATCTCTTAGTCAAAACGTCAATACTATACAAACTCGTGTTCGCTCTTTAAGTGCAGGAAACCCGGTGGGAATCCGAAGAGGGATATTCAACTCGCCAAGTTCCGCTGCACGAAATGAAACCAGCGGACAAACAACCCCCGGTGCTACTAATAATGTAGCTCAGACGTTGGAGGAAGAGACGCAGCTCGGGGATGAAGAACAACTTGCAGCTCAGTATGAGCAGGAGAACCTTGACCAGTTCGAGACCATGAGGAAGGTTAGCCAGGAATTAAAAGAAATGAAATCAAAATTTCATCAAGCTACAAGTTCAGAGCCAGATATCAATCGAGTCATTGAAGAAGCTAGGCGAACACCTTTCATCTCGCGAATTGCGAGTTTGAGGATCAAAGATTCCCGGAAACTCAAATTGGACCCTTACAGCGGATTGGAGGATCCAAAAAGCTATCTCGCAGCTTTTCTGATCGCTGCAGGAAGAGTCGAATTGGATGAAGCTGATGAGGACGCAGGCTATTGCAAGCTGTTTTCGGAGAATCTATGTGGCCAAGCTCTAATGTGGTTCACCCAATTAGAGCCGGGTTCGATCAGCAATTTCGACGAACTATCAGCCGTATTCTTAAAGCAATACTCCATCGTTATGGATAAAAGCGTTTCGGATGCCGATCTTTGGAACTTAACGCAAGGATCTAATGAATCACTTCGAGTTTTCATCACCAAATTCAAAGGAGTGCTGTCAAAACTCCCAAGAATCTCACAGCAATCAGCTTTATCTGCCTTACGAAAAGGATTGCGACATGATTCAAGGTTTAAAGAAGACTTAATACTTCATAAACCAGACACAATTCAGGATGCACTCTTCCGCGCGAACAACTGGATGGAGGTAGAGGACGAAAAAGAAAGTTTTGCCAAAAGGAATAAACAAGAAAAGTCGGCAATCACCGTCCCTACCAGGAAGTTCGAGCCTAGGGAGAGCAAGGGACCAAAGAAGTTTGGGTCGCAACCCTTCAACAATACCGTCGGGAAGCAATTCCAAGGGAAAGGAAGATCAAACACTTGGGTCCGTGATGAAAGTCTATATTGCGACATTCATAAAGTAACCGGACATTTAACCAAGGATTGCAGCGTTCTTAAAAAGCACCTCGCAGAGCTTTGGACTAGCGGCGATCTTTCTAAATTTGATATAAAAGATTTTGTGAAGGAATACCACGAAGCAAAGGAAAACTCCAAAGATCAAGATTCCAAAAGACCAAGGTTATCCAACGAGGAAGAACCAAGAAGATCGAAGGGTAAGATCAATGTGATTCTAGGAGGTTCCAGATTTTGCGGAGATTCAATAAGTTCCATCAAAAAGCATAGACGAAATGTCTTACTCAAAGCAAGCTTGAGCGAAGAAATTGATTTTCAAGGTGCCTCAATATCATTTAACGAAGAAGAAACGCGGCATCTCGAAAGACCGCATGATGATGCTCTAGTCATTACTCTTGATGTCGCTAACTTCGAAGTATCAAGGATCCTTATAGATACAGGCAGTTCGGTCGACTTGATCTTTTTAAGTACTCTAGAAAAAATGGGAATCAGCCGAGGAGACATAGTAGGACCCCCATCTCCGTTAGTTGCGTTCACAAGCGAGTCAGCCATGTCTCTCGGAACAATCAAGCTACCGGTCCTTGCCAAGAAGGTATCGAAGATCGTGGACTTCGTTGTCTTCGATAAGCCCGCAGC